GGCCCCGGGGGGGCTGGGGGGATTTCCCGAACCCGGGGACCAAAGGGGCGGGGGCTCCCCCCGCTTTGGGGGGTCTGCCCTTGGGGGGGAGGGAAGGCCGCGCTTGCTTTTTTGGGGCGTTTGGGGACCCGGGGGGCTTGACCCCGGTGCCCCCGAGGGGCCCCGAAGACGGCGAGAGCGCTCGGGCTGCGCCCTGAGAGGCCCGCCCATTTTGCTTTTGGCGAAAGGGTGAATTTCAATTATCCTTTACCGTTTTTGTGTTCGCCGTTTTTGCTTTTTACAGTAGATGCAAGTGCCAAAAAGCGCAATTTCCTGCTCCCAGCTCACCACCTCGCCTTCTCTGTCGCCATGCTGGCCCAGGCCCATCAGTAGCACGTCTGAGCCGTCCCAGACCGCACTTACCTTGGGTCTGCAAGCTCACACCGGCTCGTGATGCCTCGGAGAGGGCTCGAGATTGTCTTCGGCGGACCCCATCCGAGGCGATTGCGAGGGCTTTCCGGAGGCCATCACCGGCGCCACCGACCGTGAAATGTCCCGACCCGCAGCCTTCATGCACCAGGCGCATGGATGCAGTCATAATATGTAGGCCGTGTCTCCCGAAGTCTTGAGCAATAGCCGCAAAAGGTGCTTTTCACCGCGGCAGTTCATCGCGACACGTCCAGGTGCCGACGAAGCGGCTTCCCAGCTCACCACCTCGCCTTCTCTGTCGCTCTCCTGGCCCAGGCCCATCGGTATCAAGTCTGAGCTCTCCCAAACCGTCCTTATTTTGGGTGATGAAGCCCACTCTGGCTCATACCACGGCTCTTACGGCCTCATACACGCCCGTTTCACCCACAGACACCGCCGGCACGCACTCCCACTTCACACATGCTCAAGCACAACCCCACCAAAGCACAGCCCTGCTCAGAATGGGCAAGGGCTACCACTTGGTGACCCAGGTAGCCTCTGGCTCGCCACTGCACTCGGCTCCTCTGCAGCTGTCTCGGGCTCTCCCCACGACAGCACCCCGGCGGCAAGCTTTGACGCCCGTCTGGTGGGCCTGCTGTGTCCACAGCCGCCCCTGACATGCAGCTCGCACCATGACTCGACACCGGGCCCGCTCATCTTGGTCGTGGCGGCGTGTGTGAAGGATGCGCGGCCGAGCCGCTGGCTGGCGCCGCTTGAGCGTCCGAGAGCAGCCTCCAGGAGGCGGAATGGGTCGCGGTGCATGTCGCCATCGGCCTCCGGGGGTGGGCCCGGGGCCAGGCCACTCTCGGCGCCCGAAATACCCGGCGCAGAGCCCGGAATTGGGGCCGCGCGCGGACGATGGCAAACCCTATAGGGTTTGAGGGCGGCCGCCCAAGAGCCAAAGTAGGCGCGCGACGCTCGAGTCGCTGTTGGCGTCCACCGGGTGGACGCCGCGCGCCGCGGAGGAGAGGGCGCGCGAGGAGCAGCGTGCGCATGTTCGGCAGATGCGCTGGGCAAGGGAGCACGGCCGGGGGGAGCCGGTCCGGTGCTTTGACGCGGAGGAGTACGACGAAGGCGACGACGCTTTCGACGCGCTCTTCGACGGGGGCTCGGGGTACGGGTGGGATTCCCCCTCGGGGGGCGGCGCTTTCTTCTAGGCGCCCGCCTTGACCCAACATAGAGGGCGTTGTGTAGCCTAGTAGGTAGGTAGGTAGAAAGTAGGCCTTTAACGCACAGGAACGACGGGCACGGGACTGGCGCGCACTGGCCGACTAAACACAGGTAAACCACGGGAGCCGCCCAAGCGACAATGATAACAGTCAGTGTGCACAGCACTACCCCAACAGCGGGGCAACCGCCCTCTCCAGGTAGGTTTGCCGCTCCTTGGCCGTCGCGAAGCCGTTCCATTCGTAGAATGGAACGCTGCTCACCCTCCAGCCAGCCGCCGCGAGGAGGCGCCGCTTGAGCAGCGTTGGCCCGTTGGGTCTGCGCACGCCCAGGCCGTCGGGCAGCAGGAAGTGAGAGGGGCCGTCCACCTCGACCGCGATGCGTGACGAGGGCAGCGCCAGGTCGAGCGAGTAGCCAGTGCGCGGCTCGAGATGCTCCTCCTCCGAAGCCGTGCTGGACGGCGGCGAGGGCAGCCGCGACGGAGCGTTGCAAGCCTGACGGCCGAGCTATGGTCGCCACCATAGCAACGCGGCAAAGCTTGCGCTGGGGGGCGGGGAGAAGATGCTGCTGCCCGTCTTCGCCTCGCTCAAGAGAGAGCCAGAGCTGCCACTGGTGAAGCTGAGAGCGCTCCTCCTCGCTCCAGCTCGACGGATCCCGCGCGAGCGAGTCGCTGATCACGCGCGAGCAGTCGGCAAGCAGCGCCTGGTGATAATGGTCTGCC